AAATATTTATTTAAATACAACAAACGGTCATTTGGTGACTATACTGAAATACACAAATGCATAGATATGTAATAAATAGTAGCAGATTAGTTTAAACAAAAAATATACGAAACAGTAAATGTAAAGCAATGAAGGTTATATAGATATTTCATGAAGTACTGAAGTGCCAGCGCACAGTGTTTCGAATCGCAAATATAGCTGGACGAAACTGTTTAATCAAATACACTTTGATGAATTTTTACACCATTTCTTATCTAGGCGATTTTTGGTTCGCTGAATATGAAACTAAACTGATTTAACAAAAATTCTAAATGGCGGGTACAATACGGCAGATGGAAAGTTTAAAAAAAATCTTAACCTTTCACACATACATTACAAATTTTTGTTCAGATATTATACTTATGACGATTACAAATTTGTAAAAGTTGAATAATGAGGCGTATTCTGGTTTTCGTACGAATCGAAAATTTGAAATTTTTGAATGCAAAATGATAGGAAAATGATTCATGATTTTCGATTCGTACGAAAACAAGAATACGCCCCAATATTTCTATAGAAAACGAGTTATTTAAAGATTGTTTAAATTGACGATTTCTAAATATGACCGAAATCGGACCCTAAATACTCGTTTCCCATATTTATCGACTCCTGCGCCACTTATCGGGTAATTTTTTTTGTGTAAATATTCCTTATCATGCAGGTAATATAAATACTTTCCTAATATGAACCATATCAGTAGATACATATCTCATACATATCTCGACTCCCTCGCCACCTAGCGGACTAATTCATCTTTCACATTGCACTGTCATCGGGTTCCGAGCTTAGTTTACAGTTCAAAGTTTTTAGCTCATCCTGAATTTGGTAAAAAATGTAGCTTGTAAAAATAAAGATAACTATGAAGAAAAAGATAAGGATGAGGATATCGATAAAAGTAGAGATAAGATAGAGGAAGAAAAATTAAGATAAAGGTAATTATAAAGAAAAGGATATGTATAGAGGCACAGAGACTCAATTTGGGGACTGTTTCGAGATTTCCGGGACTAAATCAGGGTACTCAAGACTATTTCGGCATTCTCTGGATTATTCGAGATTCTCGAGACTATATCGGAATTATCGTTATATTTATCGATGTTCTTATCGATATAGTTTTCGATATAATTATTAATATTGTTATCGATATAATAATAGATATTATTATCGATATATTGCAACATATTTATCGATGCTGTTATCGATATCGAAACCAATACATTCACGGATATAAAATTCGATATTGCTGTAGAGATTTTTATCGATATTACTATCGATACTCTTATGGATATTTCTATCGAACTTAATATAAATATATTTTTCGATAAATCCAGCGATTTTTTAATCTATATATTTGTCGTTATAATTATCGATATTTTTATCGATATAATTATCGATATTGTTATCTGTAGATATACTAATCGACTTGACATTACACGACATCACATTATATGACATCACATGACATTAAATCGCATGGCACGACACCACATATGTATGTGTGTTTCGATTACACAAAGCAACACTGATTTTGGTACAGCAAATGTTAAAGCTCTTGTTAATATATCTTTTTTATGCTAATTACGAATCCGTAAGTATTAAGTTTCTACCCGCTCCATATTTTTAGAAAAACGTGGTTAAATGGTAAAAAATGAATTTTTTGCAATATTTAAGTAGCTATAGCAAAGAAGGTGACAGAACCTTCCATTTAGGGCTGGTTTCTCCCACTCAACTTAACTTAGTTTAGCCATTTTTTGGAATTAAGTCAAAAGTTAGCCTACCATTTACACAGCTTATTATTGACTAAGTCTAAAAAATTGGCTAAACTAAGTTAAGTTGAGTTATAGAACCCAGCCCTTAGTCTTGAATTAAAGCCAGAGCCCTCGACTACTATCCCCGAAAATGGCATCCCTGCATCAGGACTACATAGTAAATTCTAGTTTTTTATTGAACAATAAAGTAAAATACGGGAAAATTGTGCTATTGAAAAAATTACGTTTTTCCCGTCTGTGGCCATGAAAATGACTTTATACGCTTGCAGTGATATTGATAAGTATGCGAACAAGAAGAAAACCCCTCCCAATACCCTGATTAAGGAGCAAGAGAAGGGTGTTTGTCACAACCATATGTGTTCAAATACCATCAAATGTGGACCTAAGCAACAAGCGCTTAAGTCGAATTAAAAAATAAGTGAGTCATATATGGTCAAAATTTTGGGTACGAGGAACGAGTGAACAAAATTTTTCTTTGACTCACCCGCTTTGCGCGTTTATTCCTCTAGTGCCTCGCATGCGAAAAAAAATGGCCAAGTATAATAAGTAACGTTAAAGACTGTTAAGTTAATATTTTTATAGTTTCTTTGAACCTCGATCTATTACTGAAATACTTTACTTTGATTTTTAATGTGCAGGATTGGCCAAATTTTCCTTACGATTTTTTGAGGTTAATACCAAAATAGCTCAAACCCTTAATTTGGCTGTATACTCTACCTACTCCCCACTCATTCCGAAGCAAGTTTATGCAAATACGAGTGCAAACAAAAATAGCACATATTGTAGTAGTACAACAATCCAACATAGCACTCAGTGATACAACGCAGACACTTCAGTCATCCGCTGGCCACTAACTCCAATACTCTGCACAAAATTGTTGTCATAGCCACTGCAACTGATGCTTTCAGGACTGCTGTCAATATCCGCTCTTCAACAATGCTGTTTATATATTGTTGACCGTTGTTAGATTTGTGTTTTCTTTTTTTTTGCTGTGCTGTTCTTGTTACTGAAATTGCTGTTGTTGATTTTGTGTGACAAGCAGTTGTGTCATGTGAAAATTGTTGACAGAACCGTAACATTTTTTGCATTAATTAAAAATAAACAATTTACCCTTTTTAAGTGTTAAATTGGCTGCTACAACATCAGAAAGTGTCTATATATAGATAGATATTTGTAAGTAAATACATACATACATATGCGTGTACCAATTGGTAGTAACATGAGTGTGCATGCTACTAAAATGATGCACTCAATTCCCAAAATTACTTTGTTAAGCAAATATACAAGTCTGTGTGTGTAGCATATATTTTTATCCTTATTATATAATCCAATATATTATTTTGTATTTAGGAATTTACAATCTTTTTGTCTAATTGTGATTATTTAATCAGTTTGCCTGACGTATTCAATAAACTTTTTGGCAAATTGATTTTTCTGTTGACAAATCATTTTCAAATAAAATTTGTTGGGATTTTTTAACTTAATCGCCTTTTTCTATTGGTTTATTTGCAGAGTGAAGTCTTCGATGAAATTGATTTGTCTGATTTGTGTACTGCTGAATGTAGCATCAAAAACGTTAATCACAGTTTTCAGGTAAGTTGTCTAACTTCTTTGCATCTTTATTTTATATTTTATTTTTTGTTTATGCAAATTTCCATATTAATTTTTAAACAAACATCTTGCGCTATTTAAGAAAATAACACTGAGGTGCTAGCGACTTAAAATATATATTTAACCTCCGTGTGTACATTTGTAGTATTTTTCCGGAAAGTTTGTAAAAAATTTCATATTTCTTCCACAACCATGTCAAAGGTTTTCACTAGTTTCCTGAAAATCAATTCCAAGCAGTTTTTGCTACTAAGCGTACAAATTCTATTTATTTTATTTATTTCTAAATTCTAAAAATTACCATCTAGCCATCAATATACTCACGAAACGAATACTATGTTTACACTTTGTTCACGTTGAGCCCTTAAATCGAGTTTATGGGCCATTTTGGAGTTTAACGTTAAACTCTGCTCTTCAACTCGTAGTTTACCATACAAACAAATTTCGTTAAACTCTCCTTAAACACCACTTTTATTTGGCGAGTTCAACCATTTTTACCTTCTTACCTTCCTTTTATTAGCTCGGGATGTAACTATGTAATATTGATGCGCCTAAAAGATGCAACGATTTCAATTCTCAAGTTACATACCTGATGACAGGACGAATGGCAATTATAATAGGGAGGTTTCAGTTTTTTAACCTGTAATTTTATTTTTTACCGAATTTGCTTTGTGTCTTTGATAATCCAAACCTGCAACCAACTTGCCGAATATCAAACTTGTAGAATATCAACAATCTAGCTATGAAAAAACCAAAAATGTGGCTCGATATAACTCTTTGTGCTGATTTCAAGTCTACCAATATTTTATTTGGCGGAAGTAAAAAATAAATAAGATATCAATGGTTAAAGTTAAATTTTTTTTGATTTTTTTTTTTAATATTAATATGTTATTTACGACATAACCTATTAAATAAATGATAACGTCAAAATAAAGGTAATTAGATGGTCTTTTACCTCGTGTAAATAATTTTCTCTTTTTTTTTATATTTTTAAGCCAGAAATACCTAATTACCAAAAAAAATATATATTTTTTTTAATGGCGTTTATTTAAAATTTGTTTTAAAGAGGTATTTAAATTATCTTTAAATCAGCATCAATATTTTTGTGATCAGTAAAATAGTTTCCGAGATATTATACTTAAATATAAAAAATGGAAAAAATTTAACCGCTTTTATTGGCTTTGGATTTTCTTTGTGCCAGATAATCTTGATATGGTTGAAATTAGCATAAAAAGTTTTATCGAGTCACATTTTATCGTTTTTTTTTTTGGTTAAACGGTTGGTATTCTACTAACTACGTTTATTAAAAAAATAAATATTATTCAAACATAGCTATATACTTACTGTTGACGTAATAATTATACTAGAAGGATGAATTAGAAATCAGATAAAATATTTTATATTTTTTCCTTTAAATCTGAAATAAAATTTTGGAGCTAATTTTTAACGGGTTAAGTTTTGCTTAACTTTTCTTATAGCTTCTACATTGTTTCGACTAAAACTTGAACTTGTTGAACTAAAACATTTTCATTAAAATTAGCTTTAATATACGTTCACCTTAATTACGCTTTATATAACTTAATTAGTTTTGGTTCCATTCCCCTAAGCGCTTGAATGAATATTTAACAGCAGCACTCGACCAACCAGTCAACCAGTTAGCTGGCTCTTCAAATGTTCAGTAAGTCAAGCAAACAAGTAGAGCAAAAAAAAAAACGATTTCAAAATGCAATGGCAAGAAAGCAAAAGTATGTATGTATGCCGGCAGTGTGCGAATGGGCGGCAGAGAGCGCCAATTCGCGGTAATCGACTTCAATCAAACAACAAACAACCGCCCACTACAAGAGAGGACCTCGGGCACTGGCGCGCGGGTTGCTAGGAAATTCAATTCAACTGGGTTTTCATATGTACATACATACATATGTACATGGGGCGTTCCATACAGAAATAGAAGGGGTTCATGTATTTGATTTGTTTTAAATTTTTAAGGTTGATGGATAAACATAAATAATAACTAAATATGAAATTCGAGCTTGATTAATATATCTTTAAAAACTTTGCAGCACAAAAACAAAAGAAAATCGGGTTAATAGTTCTCTAAATACCTGTAGAACGTGGGGCGAGGTGAAAATTTGAAAAAAATCACAAATCCACAAATCAAAATTCTCTATTAAACGAAATATTTAAAAAAAAAAAATTTTTAATTTTTCACATAAAAATTTTTTGATAAAAAAAAATAGTTTTTGAAAATATTCCTTCTCAAAAAAATTAAAAAAAATCACAATCGTAGCTCTGAGTATTGCGCAATATTTAAGTATAGTGTTACGGGGTTATGCATTTTTTTTACACCGAATTTGAATAAAATGAGTACATACAAATTTAAATTTTTTTAGAATTTTTTTGAGTCTGGAGTTTTGTAGCGCATTCAATTTTAGTATGAAACAGTACAAATTTTAAGCGATTAGCAAAACTGGCGTTAATTTAATTTTCCTTGAAAACTGTTTTGCGCATTTTCTTCGATAATAAAAAGAGCAAAAAGCCGTCAGCATAAAAAATATTAAAAATGAACGCAATTTTGCAGTAGTTTAAAACTTGCACTTTAATATCCTAAAATTGAGTGTGCTACAAAACTGCATACTCAAAAAATTAAAAAAAAATTAAATTTGTAATGTACTCCTTTCATGTAATACTATACTTAAATATTGCGCAATACTCAGAGCTACGATTGTGATTTTTTTAATTTTTTTTAGAAGGAATATTTTCAAAAACTATTTTTTTATCAAAAACTTTGTATGTGAAAAAGTAAAAAAAAAAATTAAAAATATTTTGTTTAATAGAGAATTTTTATGTGTGTATGTGTAAATTTTGTAATGTACTCATTATACTCTACTTCGGTGTAAAAAAAAAATTCATACCTCAAATTATTGTAGAGTGCATACTATATTTTAATATTGCGCGATCCTCAGAGCTACCATTGTAATTTAAAAAAATTTTTTTTTTTTGAGATGGAAAATTTTTAAAAACTTTTTTTTTATCAAAAAATTCGTATGTAAAAATTTTTCACGAAAAAAAATTTTATTTTCCTTTTCATAGAGAATTTTGATGTGTGTATGTGTGATTTTTTTTTTTAATTTTTTCCTCGCCCCCTTCTCGAGATATTTGGAAAACTATTAAATCGATTTGTTTTTGTTTTTGTGCTGTAAAGTTTTTAAAAATGTATTAATCAAGCTCAAATTTCATATTATTTATAATTAATATATTTGTCTATCAAACCTAAAATATTTAAACATATCAATCACATGAAGTGTGAACGCCGTCCATTTTGGTGTGGAACGCCCCACATACAAAGTAAGCTCAGCTAAAGAGCAAATATGTATTGTGGGTCACGCAAATACGGCACGTGCGGTAGTTGCTAAGATGGAAGCGTAAACTACTATTGGCGGGCACATCCGTTAAAAAGTTGAGTAATTGGTTGATTGAATTGGCAATTGATTGCGCTGATGCACACTGGAGCCCTATTGAATTTTTAGCTTTATTGTGACAAAATGAAAAAAAAAGTATTAAAAAAACTATGTATGTAATTGCATGCAAAATTTTATCCACCCGTATACGACAAGCTGCAGTGCTTGCAATGCTTCACTGCAAATGGCATAAGTCAACAATTACGACCATTAGTTTCCCATGAATAATTGATGCACTTGTGTTTCACGAAAGTGAGACGCATACATGCGCGTACATACTTTTATATTTATATGTATCTAGATTAGGATGGCTCACAAAAAAAAATATTCCTCACGATTTGGTTCAATCGTGTTTTTCTAGAAAATGCTTTAAAAATAAAAATAAATTTAAATAGATACATCCACATTTTGCTTATTTTTTAATCTCGCGTCATTTCAATTTTCAATAAGATTTCTTATACATTTGTTGGATACTTTCCAATGAAACTTTTACAAAACCTTTTTTCAGTACTTAGGCCGAATTTAATTTCTTTAAAAAAATCCCTTTTCAAAACCCATATTTCCATGAATAAATTTTTATAGCGAAATCGTGTGCTCCATAACTAATCTCAAGTCGCGTACGAATGACTTACGCTTCCATTTGGAGGCAGATTTGCCATTTGTGAGTGCTCGGAGCAGGTCCATATTTCTAACGAAGCTTATGTCATATAGTCGGTATAGGGTCTGTTAAGCCATTTACTATCCCGGAGTAAGATGCGGAGCTCCGACGAGACAGGTTCCCTGTCTGGATAGCTATGATTCACTTAAGAAGTGGCGAATCGATTTCTCTTCTTCCTCATCGATTCCAACTTCTGCAGAGGGAGCTTCTTGCTTTAAACCATCGATGGAGCGTTGGGGCTATAGAAAAATGCCCTAAGGAAGACGCCGACAAGGGCTCTTACTTCAGATATGTTTTATTTCATTCTTCAGCACGACTCTTATTAAGTCTCTGCCATAAGGATCTTGAGATCTCACGGTCGTCTCGATTAATCCATAAGTCATTAGTTTTGGCTGTTGTGTATTCCTTTGCAGAAAATATATCGGTGCTAGTAGTAAGTTATCCGCTTCGCTACAAGCGTTTATAAATTTATTAAAAAATTTATTTCTTTCATTTAAATACTGCAAGTGCCGGCATTTGAACCTGCGACACACAGAATTTATAGCCGACATCTCTACCTACGCGGCTGCGGCAGTCGAAAGTTTTTAGGCTTTTAAATTCATACTTTTCATATGTAATCAATTCCCCTCATGCTATGAAAAATATGAATACATTTTTACTCATCTTAAACATTTTGGTGACAGTCGTAGTCAAAAGTTATGAAAAACTAACTTGCAGAAAAGATGTGTGAAATTTTTTTTCTTCTTTAAATAAAGTATGGTATATCCTAGCATTCTTAGATACATATATGAGTTTTGCATACATATATATTTTTATATGCGTACATATGTATACATTTAAGTTATGTATGTGCCATTTTGTGCTCCTAA